TCTCCCCAACATGAAAGTGAAAATACGACATGTCCTTGTGCCACCTTTCAATAAATGCATCCTGCATGTCGTGGCTTATACTATTGTAACCAGTACAACATAGTCCACCAAGTCTGGATCCAACCACAAGCACATGGAACCAAGCAGCCGCATGTATACACAATTCAAATATTTTCCGCGAGTGACTCATAGACTTAATTGGCAACCGTTCCTGAAACACAAAAAAAAATAGCCATTAAATTTTTATTTTTGAGTAAACCTTTAAAATGAAAAAGTGCAACCAAAAATATATCTCTCCATCTCAAATATACCGAGCGACATGATCATTATAGTAGATCAAGAGGGAGGTGTCATAAGGCCCTCCTGGATAGCCCTAGTTTGGCTCCCCGTGTACCTCAACATGCTCGGGTACCTCATCCCCCTCAGGTACCTCAAAATGATCGGATACATCATCCCCCTCGGGTACCTCATCGGGTACCTGCTCATGAGCATGAGAGGTAGACTCCTCTGTGCAGAAGAAGAAGCTCCAGGCAATTCCTCCCTTCATACCCGACCCCGTCCTCGAGGCCTGTTAACCTACTGCTTAGCTATCTCTCATCGAGCAGAGGCAATATAGCTTGACTTGCCTTGTCTCAAACGATTGGACGAGTCCTGGTTGTCAGCTATTTTCCTGAAGAATTAATTATAATTGTTAATATCAATGTTAAAAAAAACAACTCAGGCAAGAATTCGCATGTGCGCTTTCGAAACTGGTCCAGGAGGATTTCAAATGTGCACATGTGAAACCACTTGCGAATAACCATTTTCAAGAAGCAACTTCTTCTTGCCCTAAAACATCCAAATACTTTTTTTTTGTCATCCATACACCAACATTTAACTATTCTAACAACAATCTACACAATGTCATTTCTACTAACTAATCTAATACACTATTATAACATTGCATACTGAATTAAATGAAAATAGAGAAAAGTTACACAAACTTGGAGCCTTGGAGATGAGTTGGAATGACTTGAAAAGAGTTGAAATGGAGAGATGAGTGGAAATGACTGAGTTTTTCAACTTTGGATAGTAGAAATATAGGGTTTGGAGCAGAAATGTAAAGTGTTTGTGTTTGAATAGAAATTGATATGTTCTGTTCGTGATTTTGAAAACAACAGGATGAATTCGGATGTACATTTCCGAAATTATAAATTTTGAGATGAATTCAAAGATAACATATAAAATCACTTTTTTTTAATAAAATAAAATAACTTCGGATATACACATGCGAATATATATATTATTATCAAATACAGTACGATTGGATATACATATCCAAAATCTAAGAATATTTTGAAATTTTCACCAAAGATTTTAAAAAACTACACAAAATGTTAAAAATTTTTTTTTTTTTTTATATCACAAGGATAACTACTTGTAGATAGTTAAATTACCCTAAAGTGCCGCCGATACAGTGACATAAGGCAAGTTATTGGTGAATATGAATTAGACGTGAATAATAAACTAATAGTGAACTTGACTTCTATAACCTAGTTTACCGGAAACTTCTAAAAGTCGTTAGTTCAAACCTCCAAACACGTCTTAAATATCTTCAACAATCATGCACCCGTATCAACCACTAAAAGCTACAATTCAACTATCAAAATATTAGAAAGTACATCAAACCATTTCACCAAATACTTTTATATAAAAATTGTCTTTGTTAATATTATTTATATTAAAATCAAAGACATTAGTAGACTTTTCACCATCCAAACGCGTCATAAAGTCTATATATAACTATATGTTGCCTTTTCCAAATCATAATTCTCAATATATCTTTTGACACTTCTCATTCAGAACATACACACAAAGAGAAAAACCTGTTTTTTTTCTTCCTTAAACTATACCATTTTTTGAACCATGTCTTTCTCAAACAAACTATCATTGGTTTTATTACTTTCTTCTTTTCTCATCCATGCATCTTTTGGTAACTACTATATTATATTCTACTATTTTTCTTTGATATTTTCTTATGATATGTATATTAAACATAGTCATGAACTTTGCAGCTGAGATGATATGCGAGGAGTTACCGAAAGAAGTGTGTAGTTTCTCAATAGCTTCATCTGGGAAGAGGTGTTTGTTGGAGACAGAAAAAGGAGTGAAAGGTGAAATTGAATATCAATGCAGAACATCTGAAGTTGTGGTGGAGAGAATCTCAGAGTACATAGAAACAGACCAATGTGTTGAAGCATGTGGTGTTGATAGAAGCTCTGTTGGTATTTCATCTGATGCTTTCTTTGAGCCACACTTCACTGCCAAACTTTGCTCACCATCTTGCTACCAAAAGTGTCCGAATATTGTTGATCTTTTCTTCAATTTGGCTGCGGGAGAGGGTAAGAGTTATTCATTGATAATCCTAATGCACTATTGTCCTAGTATTCTTGTTAATTAGCATAGATAATAACTAAATTTGCGTTGATGTGGCGAATAACAGGAGTGTTTTTGCCGGAACTATGTGAGAAACACAGGAGCAACCCTCGTCGTGCTATGGTTGAGCTTGTGAGTTCTGGAGCTGCATTTGGACCCGTTTCTGCTCTTTCAGAAGACATTGTGGTGGCACCTGCACCTTCTCCTCTTTGATTCTGGAGAATGAGTCTTAATTTATATATTCCTACGATGTCACTACTATTTTAGAGGATATATATAGAGGGAAGTATGAGTTTCTTATTATGGAATTTGTTTTGATCAATGCAATAATCAAGCTTGAGTTGAGCATGTTATTTTTAACAACAATGCTTGTCACATTTTCACCTTATTTGAGATGGTGAGAAATCGTTGTTGACATTCACCGATAGCAACCCATCATCACATTCGCTTCGCTTTTGCACTAACAGATGATATCCGATTACATTGAAGCCAATCTTAGTGGTATGCAAGACATTCTACAATACAAGATTTCACAGTTCTTCAAAATTAATCTATGGTAAAAAGTCTCTATGGTAAAAAATTTGCTATCGTTTCACAATCAATTATATCTATTCTTCCACAGAACCCACAGTAGCGTAGCCACACGAACCTGCCAAACTCCTGCAAATGTTCATTGACAAGTTCTTTGTCGAATTGCAATAATGTCAGCCCCGCAGTGTTCCAGCAGGTCTGCCGCATGTTGGACATCTCCACACCAAATAAATTTCCACCACTATATTAGACGGAGCCGACATGGTTTTAATTTGATTCACTCCTCTAAGCTTCCACTCGTGACTTTCATCCGTATAACTTCTGACAACCATGCTGTGTTTAACTTGTGGAACCGTACGAGGAGCCTAATCAATAATTCCATGGAAATCGGGAACCACCTATTATGTCAAAAAAAAATTTAAAAGTGCTCCAAACCGAAGTCATTTCTATCAAGGATTTAGAATTAGGCTTGAAAGTCCCAACCATGGTATTAAAAAATGTTCGCAGTCGCTTAAAAGTTTTCCCGTTTTCGGTCAGTACAGATGTCGCGACACTGACCACAGTCGTCGCAACTAGGATTTTAGAAAAAAGATGTGATCGCATAGAAGTTTTCACGATTACAAGTGTCACGATATTGATTGTCGTCGTCACGGTGTGAATTAAGTATAAATTAATTTATAATATAAAAACGAATATATGTTAAAACCGTTTTGTCATTTCTGTTTTTGCGGTTGCAGACTGTTTTTTAAAACCCTAGTCGCTGTGTGAATTAACCACAATTTATTATTTAACATAAAACGGTGATAACAATATTGATAACAGCATTTGCCGATACCATTTTATTAGAATGTTTTTGCGACTGCATACCATTTTCTAAAACTCAATCTATGAACCACAAATGCATTTATAATTTACTTGTTACCAAGAGTCATCACCCGAAGATCCGAAGGTTTATTTGTTACCAAGAGTCGTCACCCGAAGATCCGAAGGGTGAGTGAATAAATTCAAACATGCTTTAATCAAGGTCGCATAGTTTTTTTTCCACAAACAAATTTAACTCATTTCGAAGGTTGTTCAATACAAGGAGGTCACAAATGAAAAATACTATGTCTAGTCCAAGAATTAACAGTTTTAGCTAACAAGTGAGCAATCAATTTTTTTTTGGCGTTTAACAAATTTTATCTGAAAGTTGGGATGAGATTTTAATAAACTCTTAATAAAACATATGATTAAACTAAATTTAGAACTACCAGTATAGTTGGCATGAATTGCTTGTACCACCATTTAAGAATCACTTTCAAATTGTGAAGTCAACCTTCTCTATGATAAACATATTTTGAGGAAGACAAAACTCTAAGTAATAAGAAGGCAGAGATGTTATTCAAAGACAAAGCATCATTATTCAAGATTTTGGTTTCAAGCTATTGTATTTTAAGAAGGTATAATGATAATATTTACCTTCACTAAAGTCTTAGATGCTCAAGTATTCTAATCAATCATTGCATAAACCATTCGTGTTCATGACAAATGTTTTAAAACTATTTTTCAAGATTTCTACCGAGTAAGTCGATTTATCTCTTAGGAAAATCGATTTACCATTGAAGCAAAACATTTCCAGAAGCGAAAATTCAAATTTTGCACTAAGTAAATCAATTTACCACTTAGAGAAATCGATTTACCACTGTTTGTTTTTAAAATTTTGTTAACGTTAACAGTATGAAATCGATTTTCATAAGAGGGAAATTGATTTTTCATATTTCGGCATGCACAACGGTAAAGGAAATTTGTGATACTTTGGTGGAAACTCATGAAGGAACCACTGAAGTTAAAATATTGAGATTAAATACATTGAGTCAAGAATACAAACTATTTAGAATGCAGCCCAAGAATCAATCCTCGACTTTAAAAAAAGATTCGGGCACTTGGCAAATCATTTGAATGCACTTGGTAAGACTTTAACTAATTATGAACTTAATCTTAAAATGCTTAGATCATTAACCATGGAATGACAAACAAAAGTGACAGTAATATCCAAGAAGAAGAATCTATCCACAATGACTTCTGCAACTTTATTTGGAAAACTTCAAGAATACGAGACGGAACTTGCAAGACTTAAAAAGCATGAAATCCAAGTAAAAGATTCAAAAGACATTGCTTTAATGAAGAGTATCAAAAATCATGATAGCAATCAAGAGGATGAATCCAATAGTAGTGAAGATGATGATCTTATCAAGAAGATTAAAAAGTTTCTACGAAAAGAAAGAAAAAGAGAAGCACCAACAAGGAAGGTTACATGCTTTGAATGTGGGGAAAAGGGACATGTTAAAAGTGAATGTCCTACACTTGAAAAAAAGAAGAATTATTTCAAGAGAAATAAAGAAAAGAAGTCAAAGAAAGCATATATGGAACGGGAAAATTCATCTTCCGATTTCGAAAGCAATCAACGTATTAACATTGCATTAATGGATTCACACCACTCCGATGATGAAATAGAAGAGGTTAGTAATGAATTTTCTCTTTATGATAATGATGTTCAAGGTTCGATTGATGAACTTCTCAATGAATGTAAGAATTTCTATAAAACAGTGTCAATTCAAAAGGTACAAATTATATCTCTTGAAGAAAAGATTGACACCATGAAAAAGAATTTTGAAATTGAAAAATAAAAACTTACATGCAAAGAATGTGATTCACTTTCCTTCCGAATTGTTCAATTAAAGATAATCCTTGAAAGATATGAAAAAGGACAAGTTGGATTGGACAATATCCTTAGTCAACAAAGGTACTCAAATGATAAAAGTGGTCTTGGTTATTCTAAATCTAAACCAAGTATTAATAAAACTATTTTTATTAAAGCAAGTAATCATTCCAACAAGGAAAACATGAACAAAGCACAAAAGGTTCACCATCATCGTCATAATAAGAGATTTCCTAAAAAGAAATCTTATGTTCCTAGATATAGAAGTAATTTTATTTCTAGATGTTTATATTGTGATATAAGTGGCCAAACACCTAATGCTTGCTATGTTAGAAGTGTTAGTGTGGCAAGGGAGAATTATGTGTGGGTGTCATACCCTAAAGTTGCCCTACTGATATTACTAATCAAGTTATTCTTTTTTATTACTAATTTTGGCACTATTATATTTTTGTTACTAACTTATGTTTAGAATCAATGGGGGGTATAATATCATAATAGGGGTGTGTGTTTTTTATTCTTTTCTCAAAGGGCTCATTGTTTCAATTTTTTAGATTGGCCCATCAATTTTTCTTTGGAAGGTCCATTAGCTCTTGTAAGTTTGACCGAAGTCAACATTTAATTATCATTTGGTTATTATTATTGACATGAAAATTTCTATTATTATTATTATTATCAATATTATTAGTTAAAATTATTAAATAATTATCTTATTATTAACAATTATTTTTATTTTTATTTTTATTTTATAATCTAAGAAATTTGGACCAAGTCAAACTAGGGTTTTCAACCCTTCTTCTACGACGGCGCGTTTTTGTGCTTCTTCTTCACTAAATCACTGAAGCCCAGTACAACAAAGTCCAAAAAGTCAAACAAATCAAATCTTCGCATAATCAAATCGAAAATTGAAAGTTTTTATACAGTAAAATGAATCAAATATTACAAACAGAATCAAATCTTAATCTAATTTCTAACATAACCAATACAAATCAATTACAATAGATCATAATCTTTTCTAAACAGAAATCAATCTTCAATCTTCTCTGATTTTTAACTAAATCAAATTGTAATGAAAATTACAAATTATTTCCTAACTTATCTAAATCTAAAACCTATAAATAAGAATCCTAATTCTAAATTGGGAGAGGAATAAATTATAACAGAAAAAAGAGGAGTAGAAGCAGAATTTGCGAGTCAACCTTCTTGCTTGAGATATGGGTTTCAATTTCTGAAATCGTAGATCTATGTTTCAATCCCTCGATGCTGCATCATCTCCGCCGCACCGTGTACCTGTGAACCAAAGAAAGAATAAGAGATTAAAAGGGAGAATCAGAAAACTAGAAAAGGACTAATACATGAAGAATCACTGCAGCAGATAGTAACTGTTATAACATAGCTTAGGGTTATATTTGTTGAATTGATTGAATGATTGGTGTTTTAGTTGTGTTTAATTGTATGATTCTGGTTAATTAGGGTTTTCTAGGTTTAATTTTGGGTTTAGGGTTAGATTTAGGGTTCATATGAAGAACCTTAGGGTTAGGGATGATACGCATTAAAGGTTTCTGGGCTTAGGATATATTAGGGTTCTTCACGAACCCTTAGGGTTCTTGGGGATGGATAAAGATTACCTAGCGTTCACAGGGTTATGGGTTAATGTTCATAGGTTTCTGGGTTTTGGCTTAAATATGGATGAATATGGTTCGGTGTTTGTATGAAGGTGTGAAGATTCACGGTGGTTCATGGTAGTTTCTGGAATTTGGTATGAATGCCACCGACGAGGCAATTTCCGACACGGCGGAATTCTAGAGAGAAGGCATAGCCTCTCTCTCTAGAAATGTACAAAGGGCCTGTGTTGTGTTTGTATAGAGAGAGGAAGAGATCAGAAAAATGATCCCAACGCTCAATGTTCAGCTTTTATAATATTCCCTCAGTCCCCTGAAGCACGCTAGGTGGCTCCTTTAAAGCCCCTGGATAAGATGACCATTGACCAATCATCTACGCTCTCACCCACCATGTCCCTTAGTCAAGTTTCAATCTCAGCCATTCGTTCTGTTTACTTCTGATCAATGCTCCGGAATTCACTTATGGGAGCCTTTTGATTAAAATCAAATGGTTCAAGCCTCGCTACCTCACCACAACGCCATGCACCCTCCCTTACGTTGTCCAAACGGGCCTAGAGTCTGTCTTGGGCCAAGCCCAATTCTAATTATTGAATTAGGAGAGACTAAGAGACATTTAGGTTAAACCGTGTGTTATGAAAGCATTACGGAGACTTTATTATATAGAGAGAGATTACAACTAATTACACTATATAATCGATGTGGGACTATTCTACATACAAATATCAACACTCCCCCTCAAGCTGGAGCATATAAGTCAAATGCACCAAGCTTGCCACATATATAATTAGTTCTGAGGCTTCGCAGAGATTTTGTAAACACATCTGCCAATTGATCATTAGAGTTGACAAAGCTTGTGACGATGACGCCGGATTTGATCTTCTCTCTGACAAAGTGACAGTCTATCTCAATATGTTTGGTCCTCTCATGGAAGACTGGATTTGAAGCAATGTGCAATGCAGCTTGATTATCACATACAAGTGTCATTGGTCTTGCTTCTTCAATTTTAAGTTCTTTGAGCAACTGTTTTAACCAAATGAGTTCACATGTTGCCATTGCCATGGCCCTATACTCTGCCTCGGCGCTTGATCTTGCAACTACATTTTGTTTCTTACTTTTCCAGGATATAAGATTTCCTCCAACAAGTACACAGTACCCAGAGGTGGATCGTCTATCAATTGGTGACCCTGCCCAATCAGCATCAGAGTATCCAACTATCTGAGTATGTCCTTTATCTTCATACACTAAACCTTTTCCTGGAGCACATTTGATGTATCTTAGAATCCGGATAACAGCATCCATGTGTTCCTGACAAGGGGAATTTAAGAACTGACTTACCACACTGACTGCAAAAGAAATGTCTGGACGAGTGACTGTGAGATAATTCAACTTTCCAACCAATCTCCTATACCTTCCCGAGTCTGATAGAGACTTCCCCTGATTGGGTAGTAGTTTGACACTTGGATCCATAGGAGTATCAACTGGTTTAGCGTTCAACAAACCTGTTTCTTCCAAAATATCCATAGCATATTTCCGCTGAGAAATCACCAAACCATCTTTAGATTGGGCTACCTCAATACCCAAGAAATACCGGAGTTTACCAAGATCATTTGTTTGAAATTGATTTGAAAGATGTTGTTTCAACTGGAGTATTCCCGACTCATCACTACCAGTTATGACAATATCATCTACATACACAATAAGATAAATACACCCTTGTACTGAGTGACGATAAAAGACAGAATGATCAGCTTCACTACGGACCATACTAAATTGTTGTACTACAGTGCTGAATCTGCCAAACCAAGCTCTCGGAGATTGCTTAAGACCGTAAAGAGACCTGTGTAGCCTACAAACCATATTCGATGACTCCCCCTGAGCAACAAACCCAGGTGGTTGCTCCATATATACTTCCTCTTCAAGATCACCATGTAAAAATGCATTTTTGATGTCAAGTTGATGAAGAGGCCAGTGTCGAATGGCTGCAATGGCTAGAAGAAGTCTAACAGATGCCATCTTGGCTACAGGCGAGAAGGTATCACTATAATCCAACCCAAAAATCTGAGTGTATCCCTTGGCTACCAAGCGAGCTTTAAAACGATCAATCTTACCATCTAGACCAACCTTCACTGTATAAAGCCAACGACAACCTACTAAAGATTTTCCAGTGGGTAGAGGAACCAGTTCCCAGGTACCACTGCTTTGAAGAGCACACATTTCATCAATCATTGCTTGCCTCCACTCAGGGTGAGATAATGCTTCACCTGGAGATTTAGGAATAGAAACAGAAGACAAAGAGGACAAACAAGTATACTGCAAAGGGGAAAGACGATGATAGCATAAATCAATATAATGTGGAGAAGGATTTCGTGTTTGACGTATACCTTTGCGAAGGGCAATCGGAAGATCAGACTCAGGTTGCAGGATCGAATCCGGTGATGGCGATAGCGTCGGAGGAGAGTCTGCAATGACCTCAGGGACATGTACGACCTCAGGGACATGTACGACCTCAGGGACAGGTATGACAGACGTTGGTTTACGACGCTGATATGTTTGAAGTGGACGAGAAGTGGGGGGGTCAACCGTAGGGGTTTCTCGTGGGACAGGTTCCCTAGAATGATGGGGAATAATGGGAAATGGGACGTCCGGAAGAGGTGTGGGAGTACTTTCCTGAAGGGGTTCCGGAGTGACTTGGGTGGACGCAAAATATGGCACAGACTCGAAGAAGGTAACATCGGCCGATATCAGGTATCGTTGCAGAGTGTGTGAGTAGCAACGATAACCCTTTTTGGATCGATGATAACCAAGAAAGACACACTTTAGTGATCGAGCTGATAGTTTATCAAGACCAGGGGAGAGATTATGCACAAAACATGTAGACCCGAAGACTCGAGGAGGAATTGGATGAAGAGGAGAGTTTGGAAACAAGATTGAATGAGGGATTTTATTATTAAGGACAGATGAGGGCATGCGATTTATGAGATAACACGCTGTGAGCACAGCATCCCCCCAAAATCTGAGAGGGACATTACCATGGAGAAGTAGAGTCCGAGTGGTTTCTACGAGATGCCGGTTTTTGCGTTCGGCTATCCCGTTTTGTTGAGGTGTATGAGGACAAGATGTTTGGTGTAGAATACCATTGGATGACATAAAAGTTTGAAATTGTTGGGATAAATATTCACGAGCATTGTCACTTCTTAAGGTACGAATGGACAAACCAAATTGGGTTCTTATTTCTCGATAAAATTGTTCAAAAATAGAAAATAATTCAGATCTGTTTTTCATTAAAAATAGCCACGTGCAACGTGAAAAATCATCAATAAATGTTACAAAATACCTAGACTCAAAAGTA